GTCACTTTTTGTTTTGGTTTGTTTTTCAAGAGAGCTTTTTCTGTGTAGTCCTGACTGTCCTAGAACTCACTCTGTAGACAAGGCTGGCCTTGAACTAACAGCGATCCTTCTGCCTCTGCCTCCCAAGTGCTAGGATTAAAGGTGTGTACCCCTGTAACTTTTCTTACATCCCTTCATTCTGACCAAATACAGTTGTACCTTTCATACCAATGTGAACATCAGGTATTTGACCAAACATGGACTATTTTTCCACCAGCAGAAACATGGCACCAGGTATGCCCTGTTGTGCTCTTTGAAGGAAGCTAATGCTGGGATTTCCACCCTCAGCTCCCTGGTTTTGGACCTTTAAGTGTACACTGGCATACACCCGAGCTTTCCCTGGCCTCCAGACTAAGATGGAAGACTATAGGAATTCTCTGTCCCTATAACTGCATTAGATATTCCTCCTAATCATTCTGTTCCCCTGAAGACCTCTGACTAATGCTCAGAATGGTGCTGATAGGTTCTTGGGTGACACCGACCCTGGTCATTCAAGGTTAGTAAGGAGAGATGCTGGGTCATCTTACCAGCTCCTCTCGGGTCATCTATCTGACGAAGCAAAGTGAAGAACCCATGAGTGAAGGTCTAGGTCTTTTTAATTCACCTCTGTTGACTTTAAAATTCTTGTCCATCTTAGTTTCTTGTCTGTACCTTGGACATTTAATAGATTGAGAATAGCACTATTTAAATACCACTATGAAGAAAAACCCTGACGAACAGAGGTGTTCACTTGAGGACTTCTATAGTACTCTTCTTGATGTGTGGCTACAAATTTTCAAATACTTTAAAAGAATTATTTCATTTAATCCTCACAACCATCCCCAAAATAAATGCCTCCAACCCTTTTGTAGGCACACAGATAAAACTAGAGTTATACTATTTGCATAATTCTGTATTAGTCTCACAGTCATATGATGAACATACTTCCCATTTTTAATATTTATGTACAATTACTACAACAACTACTTAATATTTTATCAGATAAGCACAACACAATTTGTTTAACCTTTAGGGTACTTGTTTCTATTTTTCATTATTCTAAATTATACCATGAAGAACATTCTCTTCCATTCATTACTTTTCCTTAGATTTGGTTTGTACAACAGAAATTCCCATGTCAAAATGACACTTTAGAGCATGTGTGTATGCATTTTAGTAAACAGCAATGTCCATTTCATGTCTTTTTCTCTAACCCTGGTGTTAGTTCCTAATGCCTTACAAATAGAAGGTATGGAAGAGAGCTTTGTGTTTGTGGAAATGAAGATGTGCGGTGTACCCATATGTGTTGAACGATAAATAAGAAAGAGGCGGAAATAGAGTAGTCAGTAAACAGTATTTTAAGAACTTACATTGAAATTGCTTGGGTGAGATTGTGTAACTCTATCCTCTTCAAACATTAGAAACCGTGAAAAACGGCTGATAGCAAATCTCAACACCAATATTCCTTCTTTTCAGGGGAGTCGAGAAAAACACAACACCCTATATAAAAACTACAGCAGCATTTTTTTGAACCCCTCATCATGTACCCATTTAAAACTTGCTTAGTGCCCATATGTGCCAGGGTATTAGAAATAAAGAAATGCTACATGAGATAAAGTCATTGCCCCCCAAGAGCACTCTGTAAAGCAGAGAAATCAAATAAGCTAACAAATAATTATACTAGAGATTCATAAATACCATTCCAGAGATGCCAACAAACCCAGGATGTAGAAGTGAACCTCTCTCCCTAAGGGAGGTTTGACCAGGCAGTTGAGCTAAGTCTCAAGGACGAATAGGAGTTTTACCTATATCAGAGACAAAATAACTTTCAAGAGAGAACAAAGAACTTGGACTCCACCTCACAGGTCAGAATACCCCCAACTGTTGTTCTATGCATGAGCCTCGTGTACTGATTCTTTCCACTCACAGCATGGCAGTGTGAGCCCTGGGAGCCAGCATCCCTGTTAGTACATTCTAGCTCTAATTCCTATGAACAGAAAACTCTGGATTTTCTTCATGTACTGTAATGTGAAAATCATTAGGAAGCATTAGCCTAGGGAGCTGGGAGGTAACAGCTGAGCAAGACAGAGAATAATAAAGTCACGGGAGGGACATGGTAATGTACATCTGTAATCCCAACACCATGAAGGATGAGGCCAGAGGATCTTGAATCCCAGGCCATTCTGGGCCACACAGTAAGGCCTTGTTTCAAACAAACATTAAAATTAAACATTTAAAAAAGCCACAGAGGAATTCTTAAGAGTTAGCTCTGCTCAGGTGAAGTGAAGACAGCCTGGAGTAGAGAGAGACTGTTCACACAGAAAGAAGTCGTAATCCTTGACTTCTCACATTCAAGTATCCTACAGGGCTTCCCTTAGGTGCATCCAGGTCCTGGCCAGGATGTCGGGTGTGTGGAGTGCAGTATGAGTGGGCAAGCCCCACCCCTGCCCTTGCCAGCTGAAACTGGAGAGAATCCCAGGGACCTACTGGGTCAAGAGGCCAGAGAATCCCTACAGGATCCTCCTGCAATGCAGGGCTGAGGTTGACCCCCATAGAGTGGTCACCTAAGAAAGAACAGATCTCTGTTGCTGCAGACCAGACGTGCAGGGATTATTTTCTGTAGGACAGGCAGATGAAAGCAAAAGCTAATACAGAGGCTAGACTATGCATTTCCCACCTCTGAACTGGCAATGCACCCTCACAGGGTAGCTAAACCAGTCAACCATTTGTCAGAAATGAAATGTGCACCCCTCCCAAGACTCCAGCTCTGGAGTGTGGGTGTCCTTTGGGGACCTGCCCAGGCCGGCTGCAGCTCCACATCAGTACTCATCAACCTGGCCCTCCAAATCTTTGTTCTCAGTGGGGAATAAACGGCCCATTTCCTATTTCCAGTGCCTGCTTTCCCCTCTGTGTATGCAATCCAAGGGTTGGTGGCTGTCCCTTTATCATCTCTGAGAGTTCACTCAAACAACAAACAACAAAACAAAGCTTAAACATTCAAGTGCATTGCTCAACACTGAACAATTCACTGTGGATTTGACTGACAAGCAGAAAAACGGGTTCACATTGCTCTAGAAGTCAACATTTTGTTAGAGGGAGAAAAAAAGATTAAATGAATCTTTTCCCCGAACTCTTTTCTTAGCCCCACAGCGCCTTTCTGAGCTACCACCCCAATCCTGGGTCTCTTTTTTCCAGACCCTCTTCTAAAACTGTGGGGCAAACCCATAAGGATTGCTGAATGGGGAAGTCGGGGGCGGGGGGTGGTTGGAGAGGATGCACAATACACTTAAAGGTTTCAGAAAGCACAATAACCAAAACTTAATTAGAGAGGGCTGGTGTTATGGTTCAGTGGTCTAAAGCATTTGTTGCTCTTACAGAAGACCCAGGTTCAGTTATTTGCAGGCACATGGTAACTCCAGTTCAAGTGGATCCAATGCCCTCTTCTGGCCTCCTCAGGCACCAAAGTCACACATAGTACACACACATGCATGCAGGCAAAACACACACATAAAATAAATCTTCAAAAGTTAGTTATAAATCAAAGGCACAATGAGCCCCGGGTGTTTCTGGTGGCACTTGCCTGTGGCACATCTTGCAGCCTTGGTTCTGTGCATGCATACACACTTTGCACTGTGCATGTCACACTAGTGATCAATGCTTGGAGCCCCTTAATGCAGATCTGAGACTGTTGCATGTCACGGATCACAGTGTTTTCATCATGCGCACAAACTTTTCTACTCTCAAAGAAATGCTTCGATTATGGAAAGCAAAGACTTTCAATATTTTCCTACCATCGCTCCCCAGCAAGTAAGTATCAATATATCTGAGAATTGTATTGTTAAAATGTTTGGTTTTTAAAAATTGCTGTTTAAGTTGCTGACCTGAATTTCACTTAAAAAAAAAAACCATTACATGAATTTTGGCTTAGAATTAGGACAGCTTTTCCAATAATTTCTGAAATGAACTTATACATATTTCTGCCATTTTGTATGATATACTTATGTGAAGTGGCATTCCCAGCTTTGACAGCTATGAAAATCAAAGTAGCAATCAACTCTGAAAAACATTAAGGGTACTTTATGTTCTACAGTATTAAATATTCAGCCAAGAACTCATTTTTTATGTTAAAAATAAGCAAGCACATCCACCTCATTAGCATGCAAATTGGCTTTCACCTTTAAGAAATGATAACATTGTATGTATACCAAAGAACTGTTTTGAAAAACGCTTATGATTTATTATCAGTTGATGTTTGATTTACACATTTATTTATATTCCGATGTATCTGGGGTCAAGGACAAAAATTCTTGGGCAAAGAAAGATCTTGAGGGCAAACAATTTAAGAATTGCTGCTCTAGGCCATTTGCAAGTGAGTGTACTGCAGAGAGCCAGTGTTTACCTGGCCTTATCTGATGCCAGCAATGTGCTAAGAAAACTGGCTAAGAAGCCCAAATCTCTGAAATCCTCCCGTTGCTGTGTCCTTCTCCCTAAGTGGTCTACAAGGAGGAGAAATCTAGAACCCAGCTACCCAAAGTGTGGATTCCTCCCACCGGTGATATTGTAGGTTCACCCTCACTTAGAAATAAAAATGCTCTTTGAAGATGTGACATGGGGCACCACTGAGGACACGAGGTACTCGTGACCTAGCTTGAGATCGGTTAATAGTGTCTTTCTCCCAATATGCTGGGTTTCCGTGCTCTGAGGAGACAAGAGCATCAGGAACAGACGCAGGGTGAGAATGGAGGGTTGGGAACAATGATGCCAGGAACACGCAGCTGGCAAGTCACGGTTGCTGCAAAGCAGGGCAACGGGGAAGAGGAAGGAGCCCCGAGAAGAGGGGACAAGGGGCAGAAACGAGGGAAGAGGGAGCAGGAGTATGGTCCATTCCACAATTTGACCCAGGATGGGCTCCAGGGCAAATCCTATATCTGCAGGCAAATCACGGGTAAGCATTTGAACAAATCATCTGTGGAGTGGCTTACCTTCTGAGTGAGGTCACTGGCCTCATTGATATACCGATCCCGCTCCTTTTCCAGTTGGAAGATGATCTTCCTCTGCTTCTGGGCCTCATCCTTGTAGTTCTGAATCTCCTCCTCTAGGTTCCTCTTGGCTTGCTCGTGGAGCTTCACCAGGTCCACCTGCTTCTGGGTTGCACTGACTGCCTTAAGCATATTCTAAAAAGTAATAACAACAAAGCAAGTCCCTTACTCACAGTGTTTGAGAAGCTGGGGCTCAGCTTATCCCAGTGCCCATCTCTAAAATAATTAGATGCTTTGGGTTTGGTATGAATCAAAATGATTATAGGCTCTATAGATTACAAAGAGTTTGTTATGTGAATTTTGTGTGAGGCACATTTACATGCACTAACGAACTACACCAGCCAAAATGGACTCTGTGCTGTTCACTGTTTAGCAGTGGGAAATAGAGGCTGAAAGGTAAAGGTATTTGCTTGAGAGTTCACACCACAGGGAAGGGGCAGAGCCAGGACTGGAATCTGCTGTGGAATAATCTTTTTGTACACTGTGAAGATTTGTCACTGTGGTTGGTTTAATAAAGAAGCTGACTGGCCAGTAGCTGAACAGGATAAAGTTAGGCAGGAGAGACAAATTGAGACTGCTAGGAAAGAGAAGGGTGGAGTCTGGAGTAGACAGACAAATGCAGAGGGAGCAAGAGATGAACATGCCATGCTAATAAAGATACTACCACATGGCTGAGAGTACATAAGGAATGTGGGTTGACTTAAAATGTAAGAGCTAGTTAGTGATAAGACTGAACTATTGGCTGAGCATTTATAATTTATATTAAGCCTCCCAGTCAATTATTTGGGAAGCAGCTGCTGGGTATTTGGGAACAGGCAGACAGGAGAGAAACATCCAATTACAGGAATCCACCTTCATTCCGGCCTTTATGTCCTGAAGCCTGAACAACCAGACTTAATCACCTAAACTGAGTTTTGACTACAAAGCGAAATAAAACTAGCCTGTTAAGTATGCAGATCTGAGCCAAGTACTGAGTCACAAACCTTAATCCCAACACTCAGGACAGGAAGCAGAGGCAGGCAGATTATGAGTTCAAAGCCAGTCTCTACTGTACAGTGAGTTCCAGGAGGCTAGCATAGGCTACACAAGACCCTGTCTCAAAAGAAAAATGCAGGGACTAGGGATGTGGCTAAATGACAGAGTACTGGACCAGCAGCATCCAGAGCACTGGAAAAGTAAAGTCCACATATAAAAACAAAGATAGGTAGGTAGATAGATAGATAGATAGATAGATAGATAGATAGATAGATAGATAGATAGATAGATAGATAGATAGATGGTAGATAGATTGACAGACAGACAGATGGTGTATATAGATAGATATAAAAATGCAAATACCTATAAATAACAAATGACCAATAAATCTATTCTTGCATCACTACTAAAAGAAATGGAATATATAGAGAACACTGTGAATTTTCTTGCTACAAAAGAGAATAATGTCAACATTAAAGTGATAAATACATTAATCATCCTGATTTGATCATAAGGCAATGAACAGATGCACAAAACATCCCTTGTATCTCTAATAAAATTCGCAGTGATTACAAGTTAATAGTAAAACAAAACTTTTTTTTAAAAAAGGAAAAGTTTCATAGTAGCCATATTCACAAACATCTAAAAATGAAAACACAATGCCTCCCAAGTGATGGACACCAGAAACCCACAGCAGTAAAATATTACTCAGTCATGAAAGGGTATGAAGCTCTGATACACGCTGCAATATTGACAGAACTTGAAAACATCATCCTGAATGAAAGAGGCCAGATACAAAACCACATAGTGTATGATTCCCTGTCTACCAGCAGCCAGAATCATCAAACCCACAGAGACAAAAGGCACTTTTCAAATTCCTAGGAGTGGGAGTGGGGATGGAGGTGGGGATGGAGGTGGGGATGGAGGTGGGGATGGGGACAGGTGATGAGTAATGACTGCAGAGTGGGTGCAGTTTCCAACCATGGTGATAAGAGAGTTCTAGAATCAGATAAGGATGGTTGAGGTGATATATTATAAATGTTTGAAATGTTCCCAGTGATAAATCTTGTTAAGTGTATTTTACCACAATTTAAAAAAAAAAAACTGTTCTTCAATGATATAGCCCCTGATAAAATTCCCAGACTTCTGTAAACAGCTCCTCCCCATGGTCCTGTAAGCAACCCTAACAGAACTCACTGAGCCACCAAAGACTAAAGCCATGACAGTAGAAGAGAAAAGAAGAGAAGAGAAGAGAAGAGAAGAGAAGAGAAGAGAAGAGAAGAGAAGAGAAGAGAAGAGAAGAGAAGAGAAGAGAAGAGGGGATTGTACTGCGAGTGTAAGAATATGATCAAATACTTTGAAAATATTATACTAAAACCATTATTAAGCCTAATTAACATATGCTAATAAAAAACTAGGTTTTGCATTTTTTTAATGTGGATGCTCGAGTTCCAGGACTAGTGTATCTGGTACAGTAAGTCTGGGACCCAGGCAGCTACATTTTTTTACATTTGTTTATTTTGTGCGGCACACATGTGGAGGTCAGGGGACAACAAGGAGCCAATGTCCCCCTTTCGCTGTGAGAGTTCCAGGAATTGAACTCAGGCCATCAGACTTGGCACCAAACACCTTTACCTGGTGAGCCATCTCCCCACCCCTAGCATTGTTAACTGCACGAGGGCATTGGTGATGTCAGGAATACTTGGGGCTGGCTGCCCAACTTCCTCCGGAAGAAGAGGCAAACAGCTATGCACCCTGACAGCCATGCTTCCCAAGAAGGCCTACCTCACCAGCCACAAATGAATGGATCTGGGGAGCCCCTGGGTGGGGTGGTTGAGGGGACTCCATTTCTGTGCGGGTATGTGTGTGAGTGTGCGTCGTCCTGGTGCTGAGAATCAGACCCAGGGCCTTATGCACACCAGGCAGCCTCTTTGCCTCTAAGCTCCATCTGCAGCACTGGACCTTCATCATTTGGCAGCTCTGTAGACAACATACACCTGGCAGTGCTTAGTGACAGCCACTTTCCTGCTGTGTGGACTAGAAAACAGAGTCTTTACTCAAAGAGAAATGAGTCAAAACATCATCAAGGAAGCTTGTGGTGGGAAGAAGAAGGCTTCCATTCTGAGAATGTCAGGTGAGGCTCCTAGTACTTCTTGAAGGCTGGCTGGATCCAGGGCTTCCATGCGGTGCTTTACAGTTTCTTCTCAAATCCCTAAGACACCTGAGGTGCAACAGTTCTGAAGAGCCACTGGACTATAAGCATGTAGAATGCTCGTGAAACCTTAGCTGTGTGGTGATGGAGAACACCCAGAGTCAGTCTGGGTCTCAGGCACTGGGCTAGGCATTTATTTTATAAACGTCACTTCCACACAATGCTAGAAGAAACAATAGATGCACCGCACTGCCTGTCCGAACAATGTCACTCTTTCATTCAGTGAAGACTGGCATTTCAAATCAGTGAGGAAATAATTTATTAATCAATAAAGTTGATTGCATACCTACTGAGTCTCATGCAGGCAGTGGCCTGGGAGGAAAACTGAACTGTGTATCCTGCCCTAAAGGACCCAATGAAGCAAACCAAACAAAGAAACGGAAAAGAACCCCTGTGTTGCATGTCCTAATGCAGCAGAAAACCTACTGTTTACAAAGATGTATACAAGATAAGGGTTTAAATGTTGGTGTTGAAAAAAATAAATCTAAAAACTAAATCTAGGGCTAGAGACATGCTTAGTGGTGGAGCATTTCCCCAGCATGTGTGAGACCCTGAGTTCAATCCCCACATCACAAAAAAGGAGAAAGGGAGGTGACTACATCCAATAGAATATTTCACTGGTTGTAAGTTTGCAGAATAAAGGATAGGTTTTAGATTAATGGGGGGAGAGACTTCAATAATTTTCTTCCTGACTGTTTTCCATAGAAATATCTAATCTGCCATTCCTGGATATTCTCTACTCTACTTCAAGTAAAGTGTAAGCTGTTCTGTTAAGACTTGCTTTTTTTCTGAGAATGCACAGTGAGCTGAATCCATCCTTTTATCTGGAAATAGCCTGGTCCTCCATATCTGGCCTATGACTTCTCCCTCCCAGAAGGAAATCCTCAAAAGTCTGTCACAAGAAGGAACCCTCTGGAAGGAGGGTAACAGAAAGAGAGAGGCCTGCTTTTATGCGGAAGCTAAACCTTCCCCAACCCATCCTTCAACTTTAGACTGCCGTGAACTCTAGAGACTAGAAGAGACAAGGGTGAGAAATGAAAACCAAACCCTATAGTGTGTTTGAGACCCTGGGCTCCATCCCCACACCCCAAGGAAAGAGAAAGTGAAGTAACTAAATCCAATAGGATATCTCACTAGGTCTAAGTTTGTAGAATCCTGAATAGACAGACAGAAGAAAAGCTAGACTTCCATCACCAACCAGTCACCCACTAGGTGTAAGTTTGTAGAATCCTGAAAAGAAACAGAAGAAAGGCTAGACTTCCATTACCAACCAGTCATTTTCTTGCCTAACACCTCAAAGTCATATTTCAATTAGAACTCACACCTGTAATTTTTGGATTAGCCAGATTGTAGATTATAGATATTAAATTAAGAAAATTTGATCAACTACTTAGGATGCCAAGTAACACACCAGCAAGGAGAACAGAATCCACAAAACACCCTGAAATCCCTGCTGGCTTGGACGCTAATTCTCAGGAGTCCTTTTGTGCTCAGTGGTGATAATGTAGCTTCAATTCCAGGCCAGACAATGGTGAACGTAAGCAGCTGTTCAGAGGGAAATTAAGCAGTATTATTCATTCTAATCCATTCTTGTTTGCTCCGGAGTTTCCTTTCCCCACACAACTTGTCATGCACAGATACTACCAGGTGGAAGAAAAGCATTTATTTTCCAGCATTGCTGTAGCAAACTCACCTTATTTAGTATGTCCCTCTCTCTCAGAAGCTCATCCATTGCCTTCTTATCAAGTTCTGCCTGCTTCTTTGAAGACTCCACCTCTAAATTGCCAGGTAGGAAAACAATAATGAATGTAGAGCCCATCCCAGGGAGAACATGAAAAAAGCCAAAGTGAATTAAAAAACAACACGGTTTTATATGTTCAGCTGTAGCTGTACATCTGCTCTGAGTTGAGTGACAGCTGACCTCCATTCTCGATCAAGGATGTGGGTCTTCTGGTCCCACTAAAGAGATGGAAAAGGAAGCTGGAAGAGATTAAGCCAGCCACAGGACCAAGGGTCAGCACGGGTGAGATTAAAAGCCTGAACTGATGGCTGCCAGAGGTCTTTGTGCTTTTTAGATCTTTTTCATTATATCTGTAGGTGGAAATATGAAATGTAACTACCTAGAACTTGTTACATCCCTGCATTTTTCAAGTCTCCCTTTATGCCACCCAGTGGAATTCCGTAGCTTTTTAATATATAGGTCTTCTAGACATGTTGGTAACTTTGTTCATAGCTATTTCATTACATTAGTTACTACTGCGGCAGAGGATTCTGGCAAATTAGCTAGAGTTCTGTACAAAATGCTATTGGTAGCTACATATATTTTATAGTCTGCCACCTTATATCTTATTAATTCTAGTCATTTTTCAGATCATTTCTTGTATATTTTGTAGAAAATTCTAACATAGAGAGGGCCCATGCTCCTAACCATTACCGCTAACACTGCTTTTTGATTAGACGCATCAAAGGAAACAGGTCCCACTGGTACACACCTGTGGCTGTTAGGGAGGCTGAGAGCTGGAGAGCTGCTTCAGCCCAGAAGGTCAAGACTAGCCTGTACAATATAGCAAGACGCTATAACAAACAACATCAAGTCCCTAAGAAAAGATGTTATCAACAGTAAATATGAAATAGTCAACCAAAGGCTGGAGAGAGGAGATGGCTCAGAGGTTAAGATCATTGACTGCTCTTTCAGAGGTCCTGAGTTCAGTTCCCAGCAACCACCTGGCAGCTCACAACCATCTATAATGAGATCTGATGCCCTCTTCTGGTGTGCAGGATAACATGCAGACAGAACACTTTGTACATAATAAATAAATCTTTTAAGACAGAGAGAGAGGAGAAATAACCAAAGAAAAGAACATGCTGGCTTTCAGAAAAGAACATGTGACTTAACAGGGAAAGAGTTTGATTCAATGCTCAATGGATTTAAAAATATCTGTGGGGGACTAGAGAGATGGCGTGGTGACTAAGAGTACTTGCTGTTCTTCCAGAGGACCCAGGTTCAATTCCTAGTACCCACATGGAAGCTCACAACCATCTGTAACTCCAGTCTAAGGGATTCATTACTCTCTTCTGGCCTTTGAGGGTATCAGACACCCACATGGCACACAGACATTCAAGTAAAACATCTATAAACATTAAACAACAACTGAATATATATACATATAGTCAGAGAGAGAGAAAAAATCGACTCAAATCTTACAGTTATAGCAAGCAAAAATACTGTAATTAAAACATAGGACTGTTTCAGTCTCATTTGGCTGGTTATATGCTTTAAAAAGCCCACCATTCTTCATCTCTGTCATGGAAGACTTTAGGTTGTAAACTTTCACTACGCTGTGAGCATCCTGAAGGCAAGGTCTTCCTCATACCCAGTGCTTGCACATGGTCTATACCAGTTTACAGAGCAGACACATGGAGAAGTTGCCAAGCTAACCTGCAACAACACCTCAATGAAAGAAAAAACAGCTGGGCTTCTGAAAGGCTTACTTGACAAGGATGTCTAGTAGCAATATCCAGTGATCTAGACTTTGCCTAACTTGCAGAGAGGCGATGTGTGCTTTTATACATATCTTTCAACAATTTATGGCACACAGCAGCCTGTAAAGACATCAAGAAGACACACATGTTCCTGCGCCACACAGACAGAATTCATACCGGAGTCTCTTTCTCCACGTCCAGAACTGTTTCTGCCACACCACACCAGTATGCTACATTTTTAATTATATTGTTGTGCAGAAAATTACCCGTGACATTTAGTAAGTTCTCTCTCTGTGCTTGGTCCTTCCAAAAAACAACCCCAAATCTTATTAATCAAGGACATTCATTTCAACATGTTCCTTATCTTCTATGGGCAGACCTAGGAGTTTAAATGTTCTTTACTTCAGTGGCCAATATTGAATATTGAACACTATTTTAGGTTAGATTCACATGGTTCCAATAGAACCTATGGAAGAATTTGTTGAGTAAAGGGAGTTTAAAGTATTCGAAATGGTGGCTCCCTCCAGTTGGCTGGTTACCAGGTTGAAGTTCACTGATGTCTCTCTGTATGGTTTAGGGGCACAGAGTCCTGGCCTGTGAGTGGGCACTAGTGAAGAATGAAAAGCTTATGAGTAAAAACACAGGGATTTACCTCTCTCTAACCCCAGGATCTGATTCTTCAGGGTTTCCTTATGCTGCTCCACCTCTGCCTTTTGGTCTTCGATCAGGTGCAGTTTCTTATGGATCTGTTCTCTGATTTTGTTAAGCTTCCCGATGTCAAGGCGCATCTGATGGACTTCCTCCTCTTTGGCCTGTATTAGTGACAGAGAGTTAGCCAGGATGCTGAACAAATAAAGAGCCAGGGACTGGGCCACAGTAAACTCAGAGCCTATAAAACTGAGACCTATGTCAGTGCAGAGTTGTTCCATGGAACTGAATCAAAATACACACACTGTTCAGTTTTGGGAGAAATTGAAGGCCTCTGTTCTATGAATAAAGTATGTGGTGCACAAACCAAAAATAATGAAAAGGTTGATAAAATCTGATGTTTTAAGTTGCCACCTAATTATAAAATCAAGTGAGAATACTGAGTTATATGCATACAAATATGTGAGCTCTGCATACAAATGCTGTATTTGATTGGCAGTTTTCGCTTACAGAGTGATCTCTCTGAGAAGGTTATTGAATTGCTATAAAATATTTAAACATTCTTTTGGACCCACAGGGTCACAACAGCTCAGCTACATGCACTAGAGAAAGTCACCCTTCCTCATGGTGTGTTGGTCTGTAGGTGTGCAGACAGGGTAGCAGGAATAAACAAATCTACACAGTGATAAGAGGTGTCCGAAAAGAATCATAGCAAAGGAATTCTCCAGTCTTGTGGACATTTTTATTTAAAATTAAATTCACTTTTTAAAGAAATGTTGCAATCAAGAGCTGGAGAGATAGCTGAATGGTTAAAAGCATTTGCTGTTCTTCCAAAGGACCCAGGTTTGATTCCCAGCACCTAAATGATAACTCCAGTCCCAGGGGATCTAACGCCCTCTTTTGGTCTCTGTGGGTACCAAGCATGCATGTAGTATACAAACATACATGCAGGCAACATATAAACATATTTAAGTCTAATTTTTTTAATTTGCCATTTTAAATATCTAGAGAAACAACTAGAAAGGCAGTTTAGGATTCTTCTGCAATCATCTTAACTCTCGAGAAGGGAGAGAGAATTAGCAATGTATGTTATCTCTGGGTTATTGCTAGAAACATAATCCCGTTAATTTAGGGATGTAAGAAAAGTCATCCATCTTCCCAGATGTCTCATTCATGTTATCAAAGGACAGAATTAGTGGAATCTTTTTTTTTTAACCATAATTTCACCTCAGAGGCCAATACATCATTCTGACTTAAGTGGTCGTCTCATGTCTGCTCTGACTTGCTACATTGTCATAAAGAACAAGCTTCAAGTCAACTCACTATAGGCTCTTCTAAGTGTTCTTAGCCTTAGACCCTAGAAGGTTTAAGATGGCTGACCTTAAAGCCTTTTTCAATTGTGTGGTGTCCTAAGTATACAGCCATTAATCCAGACTCCGTGGTTAAATCTCAGAAAAATCTTGGAAAAGTCCTCTTTTTGTAGTATGCATTCAAAACAAGATCCACGGTGTGGTGGGTGAGTAGGGGGGGGGGTGAGGTGTGGGGGGGTTGTGGTTGTGTGAGTGTGTTGTGGGGATGTGTGAGGGGGTATGGTGTGCTGTGGGGAGGCTGTGGATGTGGGGTGGAGGTGTACATGGGTAAGGGTGGGGGCAGGGGTGGGGGGTGTCTTCAGATTCTCAAGAGAGATTGTAAGACAAAAATGTTCTGGCTCACTATTCACATCCATACATTATTCTTGGTAAGTCATTTATTTTATGCCCAGTATTCAAATATAATAAGAATAGGAACTACGGGTTTTCCTTTCAGAACTGAAATCACAAAGGGACGGGATACAGACAGACCTTAGTGTCAAATGAGGATCCAAGGTTCATTTGCAAGCACTCATTCATGAGGGAAGGGAGAAGAGGAAAACCGCTTGAAATATGCATTAGATGGTACTAAAAACCACGATTCCACAGTGCTGGAAAGCCCAACAGTGGCAGTCGATGCCCCAGCTCTCCCTCTACCTTCTCCACACAGCAAAAATCTAATCTGAGCTCGCTATTGTTCACGTAGTGAATGGATCCTAGCTCTGGGCAACTGGTTGCTTGCAGGGCTAATTACAGAGATGAACATCTGAGCTTGCTTGAGAAAGCATTTGCATAAGCATCTGATCAATTTTATAAGTAAGAGCGGAAGTCATCAGACTCCCTGCTTCTGGGCCTGAAGCGATCACTGCGGGCTTGCACCTGCCTCTCTGTGTTCCAGGCTCTCAGCTGAGCTAATACAAGGGCTCCAAAGGCAAAGCCAAACCCCTGTACTGAGGACTGAAGTGCTGGGGACCAGACACAGCGGCGCACAGTGTTTACTTTGAGCTCCAGGGCCTTCTGCTGGTTTTCCTGGGACAGCTGCTCACAAGTCAAACTATGCTGTTCGTTCTCCTGCTGGAGTTTCGAATTCCGCAACTGAAACTGCTCCAGCTCCTTCGCCGCTCTCTCGTTCAATATCTGAAAGGTGAGGAGTGCGGGGACTGGTTAACGCCTGTCAATCTGATGACTGTGTCTGCATATGCACACGGGATGCCCCACAACCTCCTGGGACGATACCAACCACGGTTCTCTTCATCTTGCAGAAAAAAAATTCTTTATCCCCAATGAAATCACTAACGCACTCAAATAAAATGAATGTTAAATGGCTGAGGAAAACGATGCCTTCTAATGAGTAACACAGTGAGCATGATTTTTTTTTCTTAGAGCTTTTGGGAAGTCTTGTTCACAGGTGGTGGATAAATATTTTAATGCCTGTTTGCCATTTGGCAGGCTTTGCATACGCAACAATTTCTATAATCATTGCAAATGAGCTAGAGATTCAAATGGGTTATGTCAGCTCTGGGGCTCTGAAGATGCATCTTCAGAAGCAAATCCTTCATTAACATGCCTCCAACATTTTCCCTGAGCAGAAGTGGTCCCCAACGCCAACCCAGAGACAATTCCCCATTAATCCAACTTAAGTCGGCCGGGGGGCCAGCAGTGCAGTGACTACTGCCTATTCTGCGCAGACATGGTTTTAGAACAACAAAGGATTCTATCTGAAGTTCTTTCTACTGGGGAAATACTGAGAAGGTGAGGGCTAACAAGTGAGTTAAAGGAAGAAGGGGTCAATGAGGCGCTTCCTTTAAATATAGCTTCCTTGTATGTGAAAACAAAAGACAGAAAGAGGTATCCAATTCCCTATCAATGGGGACTCAACAAAATGGAACCAGCTATGCTAAAGATGGCGTTTTGTCTTTTATGGATCCTAGGCTATTATTCAAAACCCCTTGTTTTACCTGGGTTTCAAAGTCTTTTTTTTTTTCAAATTCATATTCAAAGAAGCCTCATGGATTTTTTTTTTCTCCCTCCTGGAGACTGTGCACACTGTGTATTATCCATTTGAATTCTGGCTTTATATAAAATTAATAAGGCACAAATGACAAAGAAATGTATTCTAATATCCACTTTTTAAGTAGAAAAGTATATGTGCCTTGACAAGCCTTTAGAAACAAACTTCATAAAAGTAAAAAAAAAAAATTTAGGAAAAGACTCTTCAACTAAATGTGTTGTTTCTTTAATGAATGAGAAAAGAGAATGGTGTGTATCTTGGTACTGGGGAGACTGAGTCAGAAAGATTGCAAGTTTGAAGCCAGTCTGGACTAAGCTGGGGGGATGGGGAGGAAGAAAAAGAAAACACAGATTAGAATCACTCATGTCTGTCTTATCTTAAATGGCCACAAGAGGGGAAACATTAGAAACGTGACTGTAGTTAAAATGCGTAAAGATTAAGAATGGCTTTCTCGGCCGGGCGGTGGTGGCGCACGCCTTTAATCTCAGCACTTGGGAGGCAGAGCCAGGCGGATCTCTGTGAGTTCAAGGCCAGCCTGGGCTACCAAGTGAGCTCCAGGAAAGGCGCAAAGCTATGCAGAGAAACCCTGTCTCGAAAAACCAAAAAAAAAAAAATGGTTTTCTCAACTTGAAAATCCAACCTGTTAGGAACGTTACATTCGTTCACTCACTACACAGCACTGAGAATGAATGGTCCAGGGGCACCGAGAGAGCCATGATGTCAAGGTTGTCTGTCTGGGCCAGTACAGTCTCTCCTAGCCACACTGAACACTTGAAACAACACTGGCACACATAGAAGTTGAATTTTAAATTATTAATAAATGTAAACAGCCACATGTGGTTTAATGGTTTTCATACTGGACACCACAGGTCCATAGCTACGTGGTAACTACATAACCGACAGAATATGGCAAAAGTAAGACACAAGAGAACGAACTTACCCAGTTTGTGGTTCGTTTCTGTAAAACTCAGACAAAACTATTAGCTGCTTAGAATTTAAGAGATAGGGAAGCAGCCGAGAAGAGGCGCGGGGCCTCTGGGGTATCAGTAATGCTCTGTTAATTAATGACAGCAAGCGAACAAGGCATGCTCACAGGTTGGAAATATGTGAAGCTACATACTTGTGACATACACACTTGTCTATGTGTACATTGTCCATCCATGGAAGGTTTAGAAGAAACGATTGTAAAGCCAGGCTTGGTGATTGATTGGGGCCTCTGATCTCAACTATTCAGGAAGCAAGGGGAGGGAGAGGGCAAGTTCAAGAGCAGAAGGGGCAGCCTGTGGAGACCCCGGCTCAAAAGAAAAGAGAAAAAAAGGTTGAAAGGTGGGATGGCGCTCCATGGCAGAGCGCTGGCCGGGCACGTGAGAAATCCTCCGTTCAATCCCCAGAACTAAAAACAAACAAAATAACAACAACAAAAGGCTAGCTTTGAATACCTATGAGAGCGGAGAGCAAGAAAAGAGTTAATAACTATCCCTTAAGAATCACTGGGGCTGGAGAGTGACGAAAGGGCATTGGCTCTTCTTCCAAAGGACCCGAGTTGCATTCCTAGCACCCACAATGTAGCTCACAGCTGTCCATAACTGCATCCCAAGGAGATCTCACACCCTTTTCTGGCCTCAGAGGGCACCAGGCATACATGTGGTACACAGACATACATGCAAGCAAAACACACATGCACATTTAAAAAAAAGTTAATTTAAAACAAAAACATTCAAAGCCCAGTTACAGCAATAAGTAGCATGCTCCTGTCATGGCTACTGAGTTGCACCCTACTTTGCAGGAAAATCACAAAAATGTGGGCTTTGGGCTGTAGTTCAGATGGCTCAGAGGATTTGCCTAGCATACAGGAAGGCCTAAGGTCCATGCCCAGCATCAAACAAACTAGATGTGGTGGCACCTGCCAGTAATCCTAGCGCTCAGAGCTGGGAGTCAGAAAGGTCAGAAGTTCAAGGTCATTCTCAGCTTCATACTGGATTTGAGAACCTATCAGAGAGAAAGGGGGGAAAGGGAGGGGAGGGGAGGGGAGAGGGGCCACGAATGCCCTTACCTTCTGCTCCTTGAGCTGCTGTTCCAGCCGCTGAAGCTCCTCCTTGCTCTTCTGCATGTACTGCTGCAGCGCCTTGATCTCCGTCTGCCTGCTGTCCATGTCCACCTGGATCTGCTTGAGCTCTTTCTCCAGCTTCTCCTTCTTCCGAGACTCCCTGGTCGCTTCGTTCTGTCGATGCTGGATTTCTTGTTGGAACTGTGGAGAAGGACAGAGAGAAATGAGACGACGAGCACTTGCAGGGGCAGGTCTCCATCCGCCAAGGTCTGCCCCCGCAGGATCTGGCCCATAGTGTGTTTCTGCAGGACACGCCTCTGTGGAACAGTCATGCTGGACCCCAAAGTTCCAAGCTTCAGGAATGTTCTGTGTTGATTTTCAGGACCTTGACACCGAAAGATCCGCCCTGGCTGCAGACAAAAAAAATTAAAGATGGTATTATAAAAATCAACAAAATGCAGGAGCTCGGAGCCCTAACATGTTAAATAAAGGAAGGCTGTCCAGCTCTGCATTAGGAGGGGCAAGCTACCAGAAATAAGAAATTGTGTTGCTTGATCCTGGGCGTTGCTAAACCAAGCATGCTGATTACATCTTGATGTCCAAAGTCTTTGAAAAGCTCTTTTTCTTTTAATCTCGTGTTCAAAAATGTCATCTTCTTACAAGAGTCTGCTCTTGTGATTTCTCTTGTGAATTATAAAAGAGAAGGCAGAGAGATTTCCTGTGTCTGGTGCAGGGACACCTGTTTGAGCCCTTAGCAGAGCCTCAGCATTGGTGACTTCTGAGAGAGGACCTGGACAAAAACGGGCTCAAGAAACAGGGTCAGCGAAACAAGACAGAGCAGAGGACGCTTGGTTTGAACACAAGGTTTATGTCGAAGAGGGGATAGATGGGAAGGGAGGCAGGAAGGACAGACCGTCCTCCAGAACGCAGGAGCAGACCTGATTGATGGTCTGTTCTGCATCTTCCTTGGCTCGCTCGGTCTCCTGCTGCTGTTCAGTGGTCTGAGCAAGGTTCTCGCGCAATTTCACCACTTCTGTCAGGAGCTGGTCACGCTCCTTTGACACCTCTTCTTTGAACTTCAGTAAATCTCGGATGCTGAAAAGGAAGAGCACAGGAATCTGCCTAAGTAGTCATTTGTTCAGGGGCCCTTGCTATTGTCCCCAAGGCTGGTCTTCCTGGGAGGCCAATGGCGCACACTGTTCAGGTGATAAGTGACAGGAGTGGAAGATGATTGTGAGGTGTTTGCTGAAAAGAAGTGACAAAAATAATAAATACAATAAGATCCTTTTCTGTTCTAGTAAAATATAGTGTCTATTCCTCTGTGTGTGTGTGTGTGTGCCTCTGTGTGTGTGTGTGTGTGTGTGTGTGTGTGTGTGTGTGTGTGTGTGTTGTACAGACACTTCTAGAAAGACGAATACTAATCATGTTATCAATTATCTCTGAGAATCAGGATTCAGGGTGGAAAAATCGGAGGGATGGCTTCTTCCTGTACCTGTGTTACTTGGATCTGTTACAATAAGACCATATTGTTATTGTCAACTCTTATAATGAGCCCTGAGGAGATGTCAATTTAGGAAATTATTTATCTAACGTATCCACTGGGGGGCTATGATGACAACTAAATGTCTAAAATAAAGCATAAATATAACCAGATACTACGCATTGCCAATTTTCTTCCCATCCACCCAAAGAAATTAGTTTCTCCCACGGGAGGGCAGCCCACAGAAAACGTTCTCCAGAACAAACTTGAAAATGAGGCCGGCTGCTGGGTTTTGGAGAGCCCGTGATAATATTCATTGATTTGAATTGTAAACTAAATAGCTCCACATTACAAAATCCATTCCATCTGACTTGCCGTGACTTCCCGCAGAATTAGTGCTTGTCGGGTGTGAAGCTCTGTGTCCGATGGGACTTTTGCAGCACAGGAAACCAGAGGGAGGTGGGAGAAGCTAAGAACACACCCCGCAGAGCCTTGCAGCTGACAGTCGTCAAGCAATGCCGCAAAACACAGGAATTTGACAGTGCTCATTTAGCAGCGTCCTTGATACGACATAAATGTTTAATAAGGAACCTTCAAACTCATGCCCAATTGCATCTGCAGAAACGAAACCTCAGCTCAAAGGTTTATCGGAAGAGAGAGAGCCTCAACTGAGCGCACACGATCGGAGCTCGAACTACCAGCTGTACCTGCTCGACCACTCTCCCCTCACCCTCTTCCACTTCTCGTTGAAATGCCTCCTGTCTGAATCGGCTCTCTACATGGCTTATCACTAGTTCTTCTACCACACGTCCAACACTAGAGAGACTGCGTTTGGTTTTCCTATTTCCTCCCCAATGCCTGCTTATACAACATCCATCAAAGATGGATCAATAGAGCAAGAAAATACAAGAAACTGAAAGAGCAGCATTAGGTTTGCTTAAGAGTGTCCTAGGAAACACATGAACTATGAACCAAAGGCTGAGGGGCCCCCAGCTGGATCAGGCCCTCTGAATAGGTGAGACAGTTGATTGGCTTGATCAGTTTGGGAGGCAACTAGGCAGTGGGACCAAGTCCTGTGCTCATTGCATGAGTTGGCTGTTTGAAACCTGGAACTTATGCAGGGACACTTGGCTCAGTCTGGGAGGAAGGGACTGGACCTCCCTGGACTGAGTCTACCAAGTTGATCACAGTCCTCGGGGGAGGACTTGTCCTGGAGGAGGTGGGAATGGAAGGTGGGCTGGGGGTAAGGGGAGGGGGTGGGAGGGGGGAGAATAGGGGAACCCATGGCTGATATGTAGAACTGAATGGTATTGTAAAATAAAAAATATATATCACAAAAAAAAAAAAAAAAGAGTGTCCTAGGAGGTGCACGCCTGTTCCTGGTGTGAAGCTTTGTGTGCCCTGTACTGTGCTAGATAGATCTGGCAAGGCTTATAAATTTCTCTTCCTTCAGGAGCTCTCAGCTCAAGTAGGTAAGGTTGTCATAATTTGCTTTTCTGTTACTGTGATAAAGACTGTGACCAAAAGCAACTTGGGGGCACAAACCTCTCCGGTCCATCATGAAGGGAAATTGGGGGAAGATCTCCAGACAGGGTCCTAAACACAGAAACTGCAGCAGAGACCATGAAGGGGTGCTGCTCATTAGCTTGCTCCTCATGACTTGCTCAGACTGCCTTCTTATACAACCCAGGACTACCTGTCCAGGGGTGGCACCACATCAATCATTCATCAAGAATATGTCCCCAGAGACTTGCCTATAGGCAATCTTATGGAAGTATTTTCTCAACTGAGGTTCCCAGATAACTTAGTTTGTGTCAGTTGGGGAAAAAACCTCATCAGCACAAAAGCATTTTAAATTCTTTTAAGATGCTATAACAAAGGCCATACTGGAAAGCAGGTGTTGGATTCTGTAGAAACAGAAAATACAGCAATTCTTTTTGCCCAGTCACTGGGCTCTGGAGATGGAGAGGAGATGGAACAGAAATTCTGATTGTGACAAAGTTAAGGTGGTGTTCTAGGAGGGTTTTAAAGGATGAAAGGAGTTTACCAAGGGGAGAATGGGGAAAAGGCATCTTTGGCATGGGGGGGGTGCTTGTGCAAAGATGTGGGGTATGAGCAAGGAGTGAGGGGTGCTAGGCATGAGGCTAGAGAAGCAAACTGCAGCAGACATTCGAAAGGCTTTGAGTGACATGTTCGGGAATCTGGCCTTTATCCTTTGAGCCTGGGTAGCCGAGCAGGGAAGGGGACAAGGATGCATGCTTCAGAAACATACCTCAGGTCGCAATGATGGGTAAAGAGGGAGATGCCTTGCTCTAGACAGGGAGGCCAACTAGAAGGCTACTGCTGATGCCAGCAGGGACCAGAAATGCAGGCCAGAGAGCAGCCCCAGCCACAGGAAGTCAAGCCAAGAGACAGAGGTTAAGAGATGGAGGAGTGATGGGATGAAGAGCAAGCCAGCTCCTGCCCGGAACCTGAGTGGGTAGGAAAGATGGAAGTGGGGTTAATCATGGAGGTTGGTGATCGCTGCTGGGACAGGGCAGAGAGGCCGAAGTTCCATTCAGTACTAGTTTAAGAGGGGTGACTGCATTCTAAACACGAATTCTTACACAGGGTAAGTGTAGCCCTCAGCCCTCATCAAAGATGCTTTTTTTGTAGCAGACAGAGACCAGAACAGGAGGACACAACTGGTCAAAATGCAGAGAACAACTACTGGCCATGGGACGTTCAACCAACTGATACAGCTACAGTGCAACTCTATACTGAAGGCCCGAGAAGCCTTGCAGAAGAGCAGGTAGAAAGAATTTAAGAGCCAAAGGACCTGGATGTCTGCTTCAAGATAGTGTCTTCTGTTTATCATAGGGATCGTACTCATGAATTTTCAGCAATATGTTTGCCTGAACAAGGCCTGAAAAATGACACCACCAATCAATAGGCATGCCAACAGAGATGGGAAAATCTCACAAGGCCCCACACCTAGATGGAGAGCTACAGGTGCTCATGGAAAAATGCTCTTCTCCAAGGACAAGCCCCTTGATAGGTTAACCAGTGCCAAGTGGTCAGCCCTAAACACATGTACATATAAGCAACACTAAATGAACTCAGCAGGTTGCATTAATAAAGTGTGTGTGTGTGTACATAACATCAATAATTAAAGAATAAGAGGCCAAAATAATAGAAAGGTAAACCTAAAACCTCTATTCACTCAGAAACTGTAGTAGGGTTTCTTCTAGAGAAAGAGGTGTAATATAATCTTTGGGGAGGACAAAGGGAGTCTTAAAAAGAAAAGGTAGGGGGCTGGAGAGATATCTCAGGGGTTCTGAGAACTGGCTGTTCCTCTAGAAGACCCAGGTTTGATTCCCAGCACCCGCATGATAACTCCACAACCACCTGCAACTCCATTCCCAGGGGATCTGATGTCATCTTCTGGATTCCATGGGCACCAGGCATGCAAGTGGTGAACAGACAGACATACATGCAAACAAAACACCTATACAAATAAATTTTTAAAAATAGATCTTTAAAAAATAAAAGCAGGGTTAGGCAAAAAAACAGTTCTTAGGAGCCCCACAAGGGAGAATTTTGCAATATAGAGAACCTTCAAAGAGGTGCAGTCCAACTTAAGACTAACGGTGCCAGGCTGCATCAGGCCACTGAACACTGTAAAGGACCCTGCAGAGGCAGACACACACTATCATGAAGACTGCAGAGGCAGGCTCACACTATCAGGAAGGCTGCAGAGGCAGACACACACTATCAGGAAGGCTGCAG